CAAGACTTATTTAGAAATAAATACAACAGTATGTTATGTGCTTTATTTAGCTGTAAATAAGTTTATTTTTATTATTTTGACAAAATTATAATTTCCATAAGAAGCCATGTATTTTTAACCACGTATGCGGGTAATTATAGAAGCTCAATTAGCATGCGTTTTCTGAGACCCTATTTTGAGTATGTCGATTCGTCTCATTATCTCTAGTCTTCATAGTATTTACCTTAGACTAGGTAATAAATACCTAGTCGAAGGTATTTGTACAGTTCCAAACTAGCTTTGAGTCAACTCGATTGGAACTGAGGGCCTTAACGGCTGCCTCTGCCTGGCTATCCGAAAAGATTTTTATAGTCTTGTTTTCGGGGAGAAAGTTAATCAACTCTCTCGCTCCCAATCTAGAGCAATCAAGTTTGCTAGGAAGATCGTTACCAAAGAGCTTAGATTTATTGATGTGCCAACTCTTGGCTTCTGGCTGAAAACTTTTGCTCCTGCTCCTTTAACAGTTTTGGAGCCGTCCGTGTACAGTGCATAGTCCGCCTGGGAGAGGATTTTATCCCTATCTCGCTCTATGGAATGAGGATGCTTTATGACTTTTCTGTGCTGTCGGGGAACTAGCGAGCCTGAGACCATGCCGAGGAAGTGGTGGTTATTAATCTCACTCATTAGCCTCGTTGGCCTATCCGCCACCTTCAGACGCTCTGAGTAGCCACCCAAGCCGTGAGTCAAAAATGTAACGTAATTCATTAATTTATTTAATATAATTTCTGTAAAAACGTAAAAAAGCTAAAACTGTTTTGTATAGATGTAAAGATAATGAAAATAACTTTCAAATGATGTCCCTACTTTCCATTTGAAAATTTAAAGATAGTAACGCCCTTTATCTTATTTCTCAAGTAAAGTGCATATAGTTATAACAAAACTATCATACCAGCTCTCTAATTTTACCTCGTTTTTGTTTCATGTCTCTATCTTCTTTCGTTTATAAATTAAGAGGCGTGCACTATTTACGTCCTCACTGTATACCTAAATAATAATAAGGACAGTAAAAAATATGTCAAACTTTCATGTAAGAACGGCTGTAGGTACAGAATAGTCTATTTGACCGAATATGGCATCTACGTCATCACTTATATACGAAATAGGTATAAACATAAATTATGACCAGTAGCGGAGACAGATTTACATGTTCCCACTAACATAACATTAAATAAATTCTTATAGATCATATTTTACCTGTTGTGTCGTATAAACACTATTCTATTAGGCGAAGAAGGATTTAAAAGCAAATCGGTTAAAAGTTGTATTGTATTCCAGTTTTAAAACGCACCCAAAATAATATATTTTTTTTAAATAGCTATTTAGTAGGAGTCTCATTAGTTTTAGAAATAATAATATAGAATGGACTTCAAGCAATATTAGACATTTTCTAAATGCTACATTGAAAAAATCATTAATTCTATCTACTAAAACAGTCTTCATCGACCGAATTCTCTGCCAAATAAATGATAATCCAAGTTTCATCTTTACTCGTATGTATATTAAAAGTTTTTCTTAGTCGTTTTTAATCAATTTTTCTGTATACAGGGTTGGGCAAAATTATCGGAACACCCAATTTGTAGCTTAATTATCGATTGCATTACCTAAAAATTAAGCCGATTAAAGTTTTTTGTATATTTTATGCACTATTTAATGACGCTTGGGGATTTTCATCGTCATGTTTATTAAGATATGACGTCATTGATTAAATTTTTAATGATTCACATTTATATATTTTTTTTCGGATAGATCTTTTTTTCTGAATCCATCAATGTAGGGTTTGAGGGTCTCTGATTTCATAATAAAATAGAAAGTAAACATTTATTTAACAAAAAAATCTTGCAAAGTAAGTGTTCAAAAAAGTAAAAAACCTTCAACTCCCTGACAATATTATAATCTATCACCAAATGATTTTAAGGCATTCAGGTGTTATTTCTTAAATAGCAATTTTTATTTTGTCTTCTAATTTTTCCAGCGAATTTGGCAGGTTCAAATAGCCCCAAAAACAATCCAGTGGAGATAAATCCAGTGACCACTCAATATGTCCTCTTCGACCCACCTATCTCTGCGGAAATATTGTGTTCAGGTACTGTTTCACTCTAGCGTCTAAATCAGGAGGAGAACCATCTTGTTGGAACCAAATTTCATCAGAGATTTCTATAATTTGGAAATAAACGAATTAACTATGGAACTATCTGCTCTTGAAAAAGTTGAAAATAACGATTACCGTTCAGTCCCTCTCATGAAGAATGGTCCAATAATTCTTTCTCTAACTATACCAGCCCAAACATTTAACTTTTGTGGATATTGGGTGTGACCTTTTTCCATCCAGTGAAGATTATGATCAGACCAATACCGGCAATTATGTTTATTTACAAATACACTGAAACAAAATGTTAATTTGTCGGAAAAAACAAAGTTGTTCATCATCATATTGTTACACAGGTTTTTGGTATCTCAATTTATATCAACTCAACTTTTGCAACAACTATACAACTAATAACATTAACGTGTAAAGTCTATCATAAAACTGAAAACTGACGTCAGGATCATCGACTTATATAGCTTGCTTGACTATTCTCGAACTTTCTCGTACTGCCTAGATTTTTCTTGACAAGTTATGACATTTCCAAACATTTCTGAACTATTATATCTTTTTTTACTCGTACATTTACTTATGACGACCGCAACACGCTGCAGGGTGCTACGTAACAATATTATTTCCACTAATGGCATCCATCATTTCCTGGCAGAATTGCGTTCACCTATCTGGTTTATCTTCATTCAATTCTTGGTGTAATTGCTATTTATAGGAATGAAATTTTTTGACTTTCAGAATCCTTCTTACAGAGCTCTCGCTCATATTATTGTCTAACGAGCTTTGGAACTGAAGTTTTTGATTCTTCCTGTACACTTAAAACCATATTAAGTTCATTTTCTTCATCAGCGGCTATTCTATTCCGTCTAAATCTGAGACTGTTTTTCACACTTCCTGTTTCATCGAACTTGCTTAAATTTGTGAATACTATAGATTTAGAAATCGGGGTAATTATGTTAGAAAATGTTTCATTGAACAAATCCAAGCTTCTTACAGATACCTCTTTCTGTCTCAAAACCAAATAATCATCAACAATTTAATTCTTTCACATTCACTTAGTTGAACTGTGGTTTAAATTAATAAAAATTCTTAGAGCAATCAAATGTTGAGAGTTATTATTTATTGTCGGGTGAAATGAATAGACGTGCAATTAAACTCAACTTGTTTAATTGTATCCTTAAACCAGAATGAATTAAAATCTACAGATTAATAAAATGTGATATTATAAAAATGAAGTAAACAGTAACAGAAAAACATTGGTAAGTGTTTATGTCAGAGATGTACAAGAATCGTATTAATGAAACTGAGTTATTAATATCGAGATGTCATTATGACATTTATAATGACGAAAAGTGAAACAATGGCAAAACAATTTAAATTGTATAATTTTTCAAAACAACGATTTTCTTTCTGTTTTTTTATTTTCTTATGATAAGGTAAGTAGGAGACCACCCCAACCCAATATTAATGGATTTAGAAAGAAAAGATCTATCTGAAAAACAATATAAATACAGGGTGATTCATTTACAATTTCCTCAGATGACGTCATATCTTGATAAATATGACAGATGACGAAAATTCCCAAGAATCATTAAATAGTGCATAAAATATACGAAAAATTTAATTCGAGCCAATTTTCAGTACAATCCATAATTGAACCACAAATCGGGTGTTCCGCCAATTTTGACCAACCCTGTATTTCACACAGTTGTCCCAAACTTTAGTTTTTACTTCTACTAAGCTTATTTAATATCCATCAACTTATTCGTGAAGATATTCACGAATACATTTATGAATTTCTTCATGGTGAACATGGTTTAGCATGTGTGAAAATATTCATGTAGTTTTGAGTCATATATGTCAGTTCTAAGTTATAAGTTGTAACCGTATGTAGCGTATGACCCGAACAATACACAATATTTTTTTTGTCGTCTGTTAAAAAAACAAACGTATTTAACATAATGACAGAACCAGGGGCGCATATACGGAGTAGTAATAGGAGTAAAATAATTTTTAAAGCCATCTTTTTATAGATAGTAAAATGTATTATTATCAAAAATAATGTCTTAAATATGACCAGAACTTAAATTTAGTTTTTAAGTTGGTTCCTCCAGTATTGGTATTGACTTTCATACATGTACAACTAACTACTTTGTATAAAATCCCATAGTCTTTCATAAAACGACAAACTTGTATCAGAAGCGTTGTATAGTCGTATATCTTTTAACTCTATAGTATTTTGATTGTAGTTTGCTTTTATATCGAAAAATAAGTTTCTAATTGCTCCTTTTACATTATTACTTACATTATTAGTCTTTAACTACGGTACAATGTGCTCGTTGTTATTGCTGTTTCTTTCCTGTTTTCCACTGTTATAAGTGTGAAACTGGCGAATAATTATTTTTAAAGAACAGATGAAAATTGTATTAAAGTCCGTTATTTTCTTACTCCAAAAAATAGAGTACAATGTCCATTTTCTCCCCTTATCGAGCCTTCAAGCATATTAATTTTAAAAGTTAATGAATAAACAAAATTTCTCAGTTCGAAGGGAAACATCAAATTTACAAAATACAAATTTGAAACTAGAATAGTTAGATTAGCCTGTTCACGCATAGAAATAGACCGCGTTTGTATATAAGTAAGACAAAACTATCAAAGTGTGTCACATATTATTGCAAGTACATGCCAAAATCGGTGAAATGGACTATACCTATATACTTTTTTTTTTTAATTTTTATGAGCACCAACCACCTTAACGGGACTGTTGTCAATTAATGCGACAATTTTTTATTTCGAATTATTTTTGAATTGCATTTTGCTAATCAACCACGTTTTTACTAATTTTTTTTTATTTTTGATTTTGTAGAGTAACCAAAACCAAAACCAAAAAAGAAATTCAATGCCAGTGGTTGTTCCTAACGAAATCATAACTTGCACCAATTGCGGACCAAATCCATGTACACACACTGCGAATAATGGATGTCCAGAGGTAAATACAAACAGACCATACAATGCGAGACATTTTTTGAGATATTTATAGCGCTCTCAATTTTTTTCAAAATATGCATAAATATGAATTTTAAACAATATATAAAAAATTGGTGTATTCTGCAGGGTTTCATGAGTTGAGTCTTTTTTTTAATAAGATATAATTCCATAAACAAATAAATTGTTCAAGTAACTTCACTGATACGATGCTCTTCCACTCGTAGTCACGCCAGGCCTTTTACCGTTAGACCCGTCGGATCTGTCAGGTTGTTAATATTTGCTAATAAATAATGATTTTAAACAAGTTTTTCAAAAAACATGTTTCTCTATTTTTTAAAAATAAGGACTCTTTATTCTTAAGCTAGATTCATAGTTTTTACCTACCTCGTAAATGATTAAATTTTTTTATTATGCATGAACTTTGTTGTCTGTTTTAGTTCATATACTAACTTTTATCAAGAATTAAATTAACAATAAAAAAAGTTTTCTTTATAGTGCAAATATTTTTCGACACCTTAGAAGCGTCTGGCAGTCGTAATGTGATCTAGTTGAACAAATTAAAAAATCAGATTTCATGACGTATTTGCTCGATATTTTTTGATACCTTGAGGACTTTTATCTACCAAACCCCTCTTGTAGTCAAGATTCATAACACCCAAACGTAATTATCTGCCATCCTGTGCACACAAATAAAGAATCTTAACCTTCATACTATAACGTAGGTCTGGCGGTAGTTGTTTATTAAAAATAAAGACCAACTTTTGAATAAAAAAATGAAAATAACACCAAAGCCTCACCAACCGGTGTTTTCGAATTGAGGACCACTACCTGCACAGACCAAATAAGTGCACCGAATTGCGGACCGTACTAAGAATTAGGGATTAAGGTGGTAATGAGGGTTCATTGCGTTAACTAGATTACTGAGAGAGATTTTTGTACCTGGAAATATGACACGAATTGAGGAACAAACTTCTCAATAATTGAAGTATCTTATCACTATACCCATTTATAATATTATTATTTGTCTTCTGATGGATTTGCAAAATTTGAAGAAAAGTACGAATTCAGATAAAAATAGATATTTATTGCACAATTTACAATTTATAATTAATTTTTTAAACATATACATATTATTTACATTTAATACACTTTATGATAATTTGATGCGAATTTTACAAAATCTATTCGTTTTATAGAACCATTTTTATATTCTAACATTTTTGAAGTTAACATATTTAATCTTCGTCTAACAATTTTGTTGTTACATTTAACAGACTCCTTAAGGCTGTTAATACGAATATAAGTATCTGTTTGAAAATTGTTCAAAACATTTACAAATAAATACAATGAAGGGTGCATTGAATAGAAATTTGAATTAAATCTAGAATGAAAGGACTCGCATGCATTGGTAGAATTTTCTGTAGTTACAACAGCTTCAGCCCAAATTGTTGGTGGAAATAAAGAATTTTCTTCAATATAATTATTTACTAAATAGTCAGCTAAATTTACCACAGCTTTATGCATATGATCGGGCTGAAATTCAGCCAAATCCAAAGCAAAACATTCTCCAACTTCTTCGGGTTTTAAAAAAGACAATCCAAAAAGATACCTCATCCATTTTCCAGTTGCACTTTTTTCATCTTGGTATTCTTTAGCCAATCCCAAACTCTGTATTTTTCTGTACCAAGCTTGGCCAAGATGAAACCTACATCCAATGATCTTTGTGGTGGGCCATTGCGCAGAAATTGCTTTGTGAATAGCTAGTTCATAATCAGCTACAATAATTTTTGGAACAAATATTAAATTAGCATTACAACACTTTTCTTTAAGAATAACGAAAAGTCTTTCGTATGTTAAACGAAGTTTATTCGGTAATAAACAAAAAGCTACTGGTATATAATGGCCGTTTTCTACGATATGAAGTGTGAACAACTGTAAAAAATGTTTCGTACAATATCGAAATGTTCCATCAAGATACACTTTGTCACTACTACACAAAAATTTTAAATTAGTATAGCACGAAAATACTACAATATTGTTAATATTATCAGTGGCCAAGAGAAATGGTTCATTTTTAATTGTTGTCAAATTTAATGTTGGTAAAATATCGAAAACATCTGATACATTGCTTGGTAAACGTGCTTGGACTTGACGTCTTTTGTAATACATATTATTTCTTATGTATGTAATGTCTTTTCTTGTCAAAGCGTCCATTGTATCACTGTTTTCCCTTAAAACAGAGTGTATGATTTTCGATGGCCGTTCTGTGATATCTTCTACAGCTTTCCGTTTGCTTGCTACACTCAAAATTTGTCTATTTAATTTCTTTATGTCATTTTCATGATTGTGCACTGTTTCTTTTCGAGAAATTATATTATCTGAACCTAGCGTAAATACTTTTGCGTTACATTTACTTACAGTACAAGTCCAAAACTTTTCACCACTTTTAAGAACCTTTTTTTCACGAAACTTATATCATCCCACACAAGTAACGACTTTCCCTTTTCACTTAAGATCATTTTAATTTCACTCATTTTTACAAGACTGCTCAAAATAAACTAAACACAAAACACTTCAAATATATATTAGAATTTCGAAAGTAAAGTAATAAAATGCTCGTTAACGCAATGAATCATCATTACAACCTTAATCCCTAATCCGCAATTCGGTGCACTTACTATAATTATTTCTCAGAAGCCTGGTCCTCAATTCGTGTCATATTTTCAGGTACAAAAATAAACCCTTCTTAATATTTTCATTTTGGTTCTCAATTCGTGTCTGTCCTCACCAACCTTATATTAAATTAAAATTTTATTGTTGCTCCAACTGCATCATCAAGCATAAAATAAAACTTTTTGCATGTTATAATCAAAATAAAACATTCTTTTACTATTTTTTGCGACACTATAAAATTCCTCGTATTGTATAATTTTTTTAATACGGGTTAACCTTGCAATAATTTTTATAAATTGTATAATTTATTTTTAATACGGGTTAACCCGACAATAATTTGTATGAAACTGACTATATTCAGAGAGATTGGTTAGTGTAAAAAAGTTTAATGTCTATGACACTGAAGCCTGAAGTATTAGAATTTTTTACACTAATCATTCTTAGTTTTTATATGTATAAAATAAAGTAAGAAAATTTCTCCAGAATTGTTAAACTTTATATTTCACTACAATACCGTCTAAGGCAAGGCAAGATTATTATAAAGGTAACATTACAGTGTATTTACCCCTTCATGCTATTTTTATTGCATACATCACTTAATAGTACCACTATGCTGCTGCTAGCACCAGCTTGCTTATCAAATATATCCACATATTGGGCGCGTTCAGTCGACGCAACAGTTGATTTAAACCGAAAACACGTCTCTGATATGGTGTCAACAATTTAAAGTACCTATCTGAACGGTATAAACATACACGTGGTAACCTGTAATGATATAAATAAAATCATTTTTGGTTACAAAGTATGGTCATGTCAAAATATATTAAACTCATAACCCAGACAGCACAAGTCAGTACATTGAATGTCCATCGGAAGTCCATTGATGGACATATCGGCTATCCAAAGGACGTCCAGCATTTTACCGTAGGACATCCAATGGACATTCATTGGACTATACAAATATCCCACTCCTGGACGTCCATTTGGACTCCATGAAAAGTTCATATATGGACTCTTTTTGTATTGCTTTTGGACAATTTATGGACATCACCACCTATATTAATAAGAAATAAAATAATTGCAAACTAAGGACATATTTTTATTGTCACAAATAATATCAAGCATGTATTGGTTTTATACGCACTCCTTTTTGTTGATCTTCCCAGCCATTTTCTTAAGGCTATTTCACTTACTTTTTAAACAGCACCATTGTCACTCTTAGCAGCAGTTAAAAAAAGACATTACATTGTATACGAATATTGAGTCTTAAATCAATCTTTTAATGAACGTCTGATCAGGCAAAACTCATAGTTAAAAGTGTAAAACTTTTAGATAAAATGTTATTAGCTAATATGAAAATATGCATTGACTAATGTACTTTATCCCTATGCTTACATGTAAACAAAAAAACTACTCATTGTTTCTTTAAATAACTATTTTACTTTTATGCCATCATATTATGTGCATTCTTTGGTGAGGGTATTAGAAATTATGACAACAGAACATCTTTTTACTTTCCTATCTGTATACAGATAAGGAAAGTATAGGAATCATGATTTTTATAAGTTCGTACATGTCCTTGTCCCTGGTTAACATTACAAAAGAAATAACCACTTTCAATGGATTATTTCTTAAACATTACAAAAAAATCTCTTTTATTTAATAAAAGTAAAACTTACAGCTTCTTTAAACATATTTGTATCTTCTAAATAGCCTTTTACTTCCCCTAACGTCTCATGCAGTACAAATAGGAACTTGAATTTTTTCTTTTGGTTTGGAAAGTTTCTCATCACTTAGTTACAATAATAATTGTGTTGAGATCATCTCGAATTTGCAGCTTATTAGTTAGCTTTTGGTAAATACATTTTTTTTTAAATGGGGCGAATCGGGGCTAAGGGGTGAATCGGGACATTCGGGTATTTATTAACATAAGCGGCAATCCTGTCTTGAGGTCAATGTTTTTAGCTCGGATAGAAGATAAAAATCAAAGTAGACATGCTGGCTCTTGCATATATACCTGCAACCTGTTAGTGACGAATAGGGAGAAAAACAAGTGCCTTGAAAATCAAGAAAAAAAATCAGTTTTTTTATTGCTTCTATGTGGAAACCCCCTAAGGAATGAAGGTATGGGTCTGAAATTTTTATGTCATAGTATAAAGTGTTAACACTTAAAAAAAATCAATTTGAAAAAATGGCGGGAGATACGAATTTTTAAGCAAAAAATTGCATTTTTAGGGGTGAATCGGGACAATGATCCGAAAATACAAAAAAGTACCTGGAAGTAGAGTCTACCAAAATAATAGTGAACAAATGTTAAAAACGGCCCTG